AGCAAAATGATTATTTTTTTATCTGAAAGTTCCCTGGTCCCAGGTATTTTGCAGTTTTCAAGGTCTGATCTGCTAAAGGAATGCCCCTTAGTTCACATTAGGTCCTCTGCAGCCCGGTAGCGGCACGAGAGGGAACGCGAGAGGAACCGAGACGCGCAGGCTGGTTCCCAGGTGCTCCTGCAGGACAGGGCCCTCCGGGCTCGGTCTCGTCCGTACAGAGCCAGTCTTTCTATCCAGAGCGTCCCGAATTCACAGGCAGATCGCGTCTCAGCGGGATGGCCGAGCTGCCCCTCAGTTTCCAGCTCTGTCTCCTGCTCAGCAGCATCTACGACCCCTGAAAGGAACCCCCGACCCGTTCCCATAGCACAAGGCTTCAAATCCACGTTGGACAATGAGAGAAAAAGTGGCTTCTGTCTTAGAGGAGAAAATGAATGAGTGACAGCAGATATATGTAAATCCCAGCCAATGCACACTGGCAGAGGGGTGTATGGGCTCCTCCCCGCAAAACATGGATCAAGGTTGGTGCGGGGGCCCCAGAGACAGCAGCTATACCTTTGGGGCCACCCGAATCCCAGTGTCTTCTACTGCCTAGTGACTGGAAGTCAGTGGATCTATTAATAAGTTAAATATTCACATCCGGGCAAAAATCCACGAGCCAGGATTGTGTTCAAGATGTCAAGGAGAAGGCCTTGAAGACGAGCATTGAGGCGTGGCGTGAGAGAGCTTTGGATCTGGCCCAGGCTCCAAGCTGACCCCGCCTCGGTCTGGACTTCCTTTCACACCCTCTCCAGTCTACGTGGGGACTAACACCACGGAGGGGAAGGCGCGTGCAGGATATGGAACAGCATGGGCAGGACACACTTGTGCTGGGAGACACGGCCTCCAACCGAAGAGGCAATCGCTGGGGCCTGAAGATGTCAGTTATAAACAGAACTTCTCTTTAAAAAGTACCGGTTTAAATGTAAACTATAAAACACTTCCACTCTAAAACGTAGCCAGAAATATGCTTAAGTGTCCACAGTCAATGATCTAATTTACTCGTGTAAAATGTGACTCTCGATATTTTAGAAGGCTAACAGCATTTTACAGTAGCTAAAAACATACATACTCACCATGTGCATTTGAACATCGCATGCGATTCTAGTACACGAAGGATAATCCCTTCCTTGGTTTACTTTCCATTGTAAAGGTGAACTATTTTCAGAATTCACTTAAGCAGGGATGACCTGGGTGTGCATTACTCATTATTTTCAGCCCACAGAGAATTCATCGTTTTTGAAATCCCAAGATCAAGCTGGCTACATGATTTCAGAAAAGGCTAAAGCCAGGATGAATGCCCACAGTTGAGGTAATTATTGCCATTAGGTCACAGTTTGTGTAAGATAATGTATCTAAACCCTTCTACAGACATCCTCAGGTGTTCTGCCAGAATTCCAGAATAGCTATGGAAACCAACCAGGATCTTCAATTCTGATGAGCTGGGTTCGCTTCTAATGGAGTTAAAATCCTAGAAGATTCTAGAACTCGTGTCAACTACCTAAGAATTTAGGCAAACAAGCCTGGAGCCAGTCATTGACGTTTTTAAAAGAGAAAAGAAATAAAGAGACTCATCTAAGACAACTGAGTGGCTATCTCATGACAAATAATAATATTTTAAAAAGAATCAATACTCTAGTCCTAAAGGATTTCCAGATTCTTGCTACCTTTCATCCAAAATAAAAAGGCATCTGCATTACCATTAATTTCAGACCAGGGCAAGAGACACTCCGTCCTTACGTCCAGTTTTTTATACAACCGTTGCTTTCTATTTCTTTGAGAAGGGTACCTGTCTCAAAAAAACACTTTGCTTTGTCCCTCTTTCTAAGTCATCTTCTCTTTCTTCTTCATCTTTTCCTACATAAAGAAAATAGTTCTGGACACCAGACCCGCACGTGGTATTCACAGATTTGGTGTGGCTCTTGCATCTAGCTGGCCCAGAGCTGAAGAGCAGATCTACCTACCACAGAGATCAGAGTTGTCATGTTTATCAAGTGCAGTAAAAAATAGCATTTTGAAGAAAATATATACCTTTAGTATTGCCTTTCTAGAATTAACTATAAGCAAGAAAACATTATTTAAAAAAGAAAAGAATAGAATGTTTTTTTCCTTCACTCCTGTAAGAGTCTATTGTAGCAGCACTGCTAAAGCTAGTGGGATGCTGGAAAGAAACCCGAAAGGACTTCTACCGTGAATAAAAAGAAACTCCCCAGAGATCTCTTCCAAAGGTTGGGCCGTCTCTGCCTCGCCTGCCTGTGTCCGACCCAGGACCTCCTCTTCTACAGCCCTTCTGCAGAGTTCCATGGTGCAGGGGTGGCAGACGGTGAGGTTCCTCCAAGGTCTCTCTCTGCACATGTGCACACGCGCACGCGCGCACACACACACACACAGACACACAGGAGACGGCACACACAAGTGGCTATCTCATGACAAATAATAATATTTTAAAAAGAATCAATACTCTAGTCCTAAAGGATTTCCAGATTCTTGCTACCTTTCATCCAAAATAAAAAGGCATCTGCATTACCATTAATTTCAGACCAGGGCAAGAGACACTCCGTCCTTACGTCCAGTTTTTTATACAACCGTTGCTTTCTATTTCTTTGAGAAGGGTACCTGTCTCAAAAAAACACTTTGCTTTGTCCCTCTTTCTAAGTCATCTTCTCTTTCTTCTTCATCTTTTCCTACATAAAGAAAATAGTTCTGGACACCAGACCCGCACGTGGTATTCACAGATTTGGTGTGGCTCTTGCATCTAGCTGGCCCAGAGCTGAAGAGCAGATCTACCTACCACAGAGATCAGAGTTGTCATGTTTATCAAGTGCAGTAAAAAATAGCATTTTGAAGAAAATATATACCTTTAGTATTGCCTTTCTAGAATTAACTATAAGCAAGAAAACATTATTTAAAAAAGAAAAGAATAGAATGTTTTTTTCCTTCACTCCTGTAAGAGTCTATTGTAGCAGCACTGCTAAAGCTAGTGGGATGCTGGAAAGAAACCCGAAAGGACTTCTACCGTGAATAAAAAGAAACTCCCCAGAGATCTCTTCCAAAGGTTGGGCCGTCTCTGCCTCGCCTGCCTGTGTCCGACCCAGGACCTCCTCTTCTACAGCCCTTCTGCAGAGTTCCATGGTGCAGGGGTGGCAGACGGTGAGGTTCCTCCAAGGTCTCTCTCTGCACATGTGCACACGCGCACGCGCGCACACACACACACACAGACACACAGGAGACGGCACACACACACACACACACACGCACACACACACAGGAGACGGCTGAGGCGAAGGCTGAAAGCTCAGTTTTGGAGCTGGGCAGGCCTCGGTTCAAGGCCTGACCCCTTCCCTTGCCTGCTGTGTAGCCCTGAGCAGTTCACCAGTTCTGCGGGCCAGATGCCTTCCCCGTGAAAGGGCTAGCGGTGCTGACCTCTGAGGGTTACTGTGAAGACAAAACCAAACGAGACGACCAAGGAGCAGTTCTTAGCACAGTGTCTGGCACACAGAAACGGAGGATCGCTAAGTGGTTTATCAGAAATACCAGGCCACTCACTGCTGTTAGTTAAGAAAGTAAAACAAAACCACATCTCAGGAAGGTCCTGATAAACAAAAACCTGACTAGACACTAGGAGATTTTGGGCCACCATCGTCTCACGTGTCCTCGAACACGTGCCGCTTTCTCAGCGCATCGGCATCCTCATCCGTAACTGGCGGTGGCTGTGGAGCTCTGTGAGAAGATTCTCCTAAAGGCTTGGCACAGGCCTGGAGTACAGAAGGTGCTCAATGCATGTCGGACATGGCAAGTGTGACCAAACAAGAGCTAGCCAGGGTCCCGTTCTAGTGCAGGGGTCTGAGATGGGAGCTCACAAAGGCTTGTGGAAGGGCGGCAGGGGGCACTGCGGAGCTTCCGGCCACCCCCTGGCCACCCCCACCCTGCTGGTGCTGGTGTTCTGTGGCATGTGCCCTGAAGGGGCTGCTTCTCTGCAAACTCTGAGTCTGAAGGGGAGAACTGGCCTGGAGCTCTCCCCACCCCTAGGTTTCTGGAAGGTGCAACAAATACACCAGAATCTGCCAGGTTGGGTCATGACAGTGAGCTGCAGTGCCAAAGCCTCTGAGGTTTCCTTAGCATTTAAACCCTCTCTCGCCATCCTCCAGTCTCCAGTGGCCTGACCGGGACTTTACTGGGTCCAGTCTGTAGACTCAAAGTGGGAGTCTTGAGGCATCGTGTGAGGTACTGCTGTCCCGTGCCCAGACCTGCATGCGCTAAGGCCCTGCCACAGCCAAAGCGCCTGGCAGGACCTGTTCCACCCGGTCCCTTGGTAGCGCAAGGTTTGCGAAGCCCACATGCTCTGCAGTACCTCCAGCCTCTCGGTAGCAGCATTTAGAGTTCCTACGCTACTCCTCTTAAAAGATGAGCACAGTCTCAAAATAAATGCGATTGAGGAAAAGAAAAAAGATAGGAACGAGAAAGACGAATGGGATCGCATCAGCACGGATGCCGTCAGTTATTGCCTGGAAGGGAATGGGGGGACGCTGTCTGTCCAAGCTGGGAGGGGTTCTCTGACAGGGTTCTTTGGCTACAGAAAGGAAGTCACCTTCCTTTCCAACTTGGTGAGGACATCTCTGGCCTGCTCAGTTTGGAGGCTTCCCCATCGGAAACCTGTTAAACACATTAGAAAGAAAAGACCCAGCTGGGGAGAGACGCCTGCAAAGTCGCTGGGGACGAGGGGTGGAGTGTGCCGTGGCAAAGCCGCTCACGCTGGCGGTGGCGGTGTGAAGCCCAGGCTGGGTCTGCAGAGGGATCCTGGCCCCTCTCCTGTCTTCTCGGAGAGTGAGGGCACCTATTCTCTCCTTTCTATTTTCTGTCATTGCGGCGACTTGACAGGCTCCACCTCCCTCCCAGCCCTCAGCACCAGACAGAGAGCCTGGACCAAGGCCGGGGCGAGCCTGGGACCACTCACCACACCACGACCATCCGTAGTACTTCCTCAAGCCTCCTCATCACCTCCCTCCAGTTTCCAAGAAAGTCTGCTCCACTCGCGCATACACACTCACACAACCCGAATCCACCACGAGCTTGTTCTGAAACGAGTGTTTGCAATTCCCAAGGCCTAGCCATGGGAACTGTCCTGCCGGCAGTCATGCTGATCCCTCCTGCCTTCCCCGCGTCCCAGTGTTGGGGCAGCTGGAGTCTCCCAGGGTGAAGAAGACAGAAAGCCCCCCACAGCCTGCCCACAGCACGTGGCAGCAAGGCTGGAAACGCACGCGCGGTCCGGGAGACAAACGTCGCCTGGCCCCTCCCTTGCACTGCGCTGACCACGCGCTCCACGTCACAGCAGTAATTGGCATCAAGCCTTGGACTCTCCCACCCACTGACCTGCTCCCCACTTCCCTTGGAAACATCCACAACGTCATGAAGAGGCTCGAGGCACAGAGCTGGCGCCAGCCAGGGAGAGCCCAGCCAGCAGAGGCAAACAGCCAGGGCCATGCACAGGGCTCCACCGGCCCTTGTCTGCAGCCTGTCCTTTCCACCGTCCCCTCTAACTCTGACCGCGCTTCTCCAGCGATGAAGGACGGGCAGATTCAAGGTGACACAATGCTCCGGGCTGTGCATCTACCTAGGGACAGGGCTAGCATCCCCCCACTCGAGAACTCAGTCCTAGGGACAGCGGCCTGGCGTTCCCGCAATTCGCCCAGGTGGTCCAGTACTGGAAGACTGGATGGGAGACCTGGGAGAGTATTGCTAAGGAGCATAGGGGGAGCTGGGTGCACCAGTGGGGCTTCTGGGGCTGCTGCTCCAGGGGGACATCAAATGAGGACAGCAGAGTGCACACGAACCAGCTGAGTGTCTGTGGGACCGGGCGCCGCCCGATACTGCAGTGAAACAACTACTTCTACCTCTTAATCCAGGGTGCCTTGTTCCTGGGTGCCGTGGGCGCCCAGCAGGGATGGCCGCCAGGCCGCTGTGCTGCTGCTGGCTGACGAACGCAGAAGGGACATGGCTGCACATCAGAATGGCTGCTAGACTCTCTTAGGGGGTCTCTGGCCCTATCCCCCCTTTCTCTCGGCTCCACAGAAGTGTGTGCTGGGAGGCGTGGGGTGGGCAGGGGTGGACTGAAGGAGCGGGTAGTACAGGATGCTCATGGACGGAAGGGTGGGAGCAGGGCCGACATCTCCTGGGGGAGGACCACCTGCCCACTGGCCTTACGTCAGCTTATTACAGCCAGTGGCTTCCATGAGGGGGACAGCTAGCCTGCACCGAAGGACATACACCGTACCCTGGTGACTGCGACAAGGGTAGACACTTGGGAAAGACTTTGCTCCACTCTGAGCAGAGGGCTTTTTTGCTTACACATCCAATGTGAGACAGGCCCAGGACCTCGTTAACAGATCCCAGAAGTGCAGGAGAGCACAGCGCGCGGAAAGGAGCCATCTGGGGGTTTAAGACAGGTGTGTGTGTGTAAGGGGGCGGGGTCAGCATTCCCCGTGCCCCCAAGATGCTTCCTCAAGTCTCATCCCAGGCCAGTGGGAATCTAGAAGGATCGATTTTGACAGTGACACGTCATCAAGGGCCCACTCTGGGCTTGATTCTTCCTCTCTGTTGTGGATCTTTCCGGATGGCTCCTTTGGAACAGAGATGACAGAAACACTTCCTAATTGCTGGGTCTTCCTTGTGTGTGTGAACAAAGCTGGACATCTGCATGTCCCTCCCGTCTGCTCACATACTCACAGACAGAAGAGGTTTAACTAGTAAAGAGAAAACACAAAGATCCTGGGAATAAATGTGCATTTAAAAACCCTGACTAACATATCAACATGATGGTCATAATTACAATGGTAATAGCAAGAATAATTAGTACAATAATATCTTTATGAGCAGCATGGAATCTTCATTCCTGATCTGGAAGAAGGAAAGGAAAGGACACATCAGGGGATAGAGTAAGAAACTTCCAACTTAAGCAGACGAAATCATCTTCTCTAAAATGGAAAGAACATTTTCAGAGATCAGAAAGGAGGGGTTGGAACTGACCTGTGCCGGGGCCTGGATGCTGCCCCAGGGCAGAACGAGGCTCACGGGCACCCAGGTCTAGATGCCTTGTACCTGGGTATGAGATGCACTGATGGGATCTGGCTGCCCCCAAAGTCCCTAACAGCTGGCTTTTCCAGGCTGGCACAGCTCTGGGAGGGCTCTGGCTCCCATGTCCTCTGGAGGCTGTTTCCCTCACCTCTCAGAACTGCCGGCTTCCCTGCTGTGACAGATGGCTTCCCCACCTCTGGGTGAAGCGGGAACTGACTGCCGGCCCAGGAGAGAGCGTCTTCCCACTGCGACCCCTCACAGGAGCCGCCAGAGCGTGCCAGCCTCGAGCAGGTCCTGGTGTCCTTCCTCCCAGCCTCCAGCCTGGCCTAATCTACCTCCAGTTTGGAGACCTATTTCTTTTTAAGTCAGAAATTATGGTGGGGAAGTCCCCAGAGTTATTTCACAGCTAAGAGCTAAGTAACAGCTTCGTCACTGAGGTGGATCTCACTGCGCACACACCGTTCACAGCAGGTTCCTCTGGGAGACCGCAGGGTAAGAAGAAATGGAGGGAGGAGGCGGCGGGGACTGCTGAATCGGGGGAGAGCTCTTTGCACCTTGGAAACGTAGCCGTGGGGTCAGCCAAAGACTGCATCACTTTGCACCTTGGAAACGTAGCCGTGGGGTCAAAGACTGCATCCGAATCCAACAGAACCGACCTCTAGGCCCCATCCTTGACCAGACTTGCCCGATGCTCATGCAGTTCAGTGCTATTCACCGTGAAGACAGGGAACTCCCACCCTCAAGCAGCCAGCAGTGCTCAAAGCCTGAGAAAACTTTTAGAATATCTCAAAGGTGCAAAGAGGGCAAAGGGCAGATTTCTTTGGAAACGTAACTGTCCGCGGGAGTGTTTACAGAGTGCAGTGTAAGATCTCCCTGTCACCCTCAGAAACGTCCCTCCCACCTTCTGTCCATCAGACCCCTCAAAGACCAGAACCAAAATCACGTCTTGGGCAGACCTGGGTAACGTGAAGGAAGACCCCAAGAGCCGACAAGGCCGGAGGTGGTCTCCGCAGGGAGGGACCTGGCAAAGCCGTGAGAGCAAATGCAGCTCAGGGCGCCCGGGCGAGGAGGACGTGTGGGCTGTCTCAGAACACCAGGATTCTTGTGTGAGGGACTGGGGGACGCAGCTTCAGGTGGGTGCCAGGTGACCGGGGGCAGGCTGTGCTGGGCCTAGGGGTGGCCACCCGGGGAGGCCCATATTCCTAAAACCTCTGGTCCTACAAAGGGCAGTGCTGGCCCTCTGGGCAGAGTGGGGTGAGGGTGAGAGGTGGGGAGTCTCTCTGGGTCTCTGCCCCCCTCTGCCCTCAAAGTAAAACTCAACTAAAGCCAACCGGGTCCACAGATGTGCCACCCAACAGGGGTCTCGCACACCTCTCTCAAGACCTGGCGGTTCTCCTCCGAGCCCTGCCAGCTCCCCGATATCCTGCTAGCAAACAGCCCGAGAGACGATGGGCATCAAACGAGAGTAACGAAAAGACAGACCAGAGTACACGTGAGCGGTGCGGGGACAGCTCCGACTGCCCGCCTCGCCCGGCCGGCTTCCTGGAGTTCCGGGGGAGTAAACCCTTCCACCGCGTCTGTCGGTCGGTCGGTAAGGCACTAGGAGGGAATGATGTAAAACCAAGACTGTGGGGCTGGGACAGCGGCCGAGGGACGCACGGCCGGGCGGCCCCCGCGCTCACACCCACACTCCGGCAAGGTGTACCCTGGGCCCCCGCCCCGGTCACATGCCGATGCTATGTCACGTTTCTGTGCAATTACAGTGACGACCCGTCGGTCGGTACCGTGGGAGACGGACACGAGGTGGGGCGGTGCGGAGTGCTGCCTGCTACCAGGGTGTCTGCGACGGCGCTCGTCCTACGCCACGTGACCAGGGGGGGAGTCAAAGAGGAAATAGAACTTGAGAACAGAAGAGAGAAAAACTAAAGTTTGCGACACACATTGATGATGACGTTTGAGGGGTAACAGTACTTAGGGATTTACCCAGAGTGCTCAGAAAGAATGCCGCCGTGTCCCAGGGGTCTCCCCTCCGCCTGGCCGTTCCCGTCATTCCTGAACTGGGTGTTGCCAACCCCAGACCAACTCCCGCACACCGGCCTGCCCAGGCCTCGGCCTGACTTCCTGGAGGGGTGTTGGCCCTTCAGAGTTCTGGAAAAATCCCTAATTCTCACGTTCAATGAATTAAAACCCCTGACAGCAAAGTCTTCAATGTTACTTGCTGCCATATGAAAATAATCTTTGAAAAGTTCATAAAGTTCTTCAGAACTGGGGCCCTCCACTTCCAGAACCTTCCTGCCGGTCTCCTCTTCTCCTTCCAGTTTGGTGCAGAGTGGGTCCGTGAGCTGTGATTTTTTTTTTTTGTTTTTTGTTACCGACAATTTCATTTTTTTTTCCTTTTTCTTTTTTACAATAAAAAGCATAGATTTTCCCCCCTCCTTAACCCCTTCCTTTTTAAAATGTCCTCTTCTCTGCTCTACGTCCCCCCACTTCCTAGTTCAAGTTTCATTGTGTCCCGTCCCGTCCCTGCCCCTCCCCTGCCCCGTTTGCATTGTTTGTGTGCGGCATCTTCAGTATAAAAAGCCTGCTCCCACCTGGGTCCGGGAGCCCCTCCCCTCCTCTGCCCCTCCTCCCCCTCCCGTCCCTTCCAGTGCTTATATGTAAGGGTACTGGTTGACCTTGGCGGGGCTCAGTGGGTATCCAGTGTAGACCGTGGAGGCCGGCGAGGCGCTGATGTAGGTCTGGTGGGCGAACTGGGCCGGGTACTGACTTGGGTGGATGGTGGGTGAGGGCAGGACCCGGGGGCCCATGCTCACTGGGACCTGGTGTACGAGGCCGGCCGGGTAGGCAGTGTGCTGCACGGGGTGGCGCGCCGAGCCTTGCGAGGCCACCAGGTGGGCCACGGTGCCGGTGGAGCCCAGGGCAGCGGGCGCCGTGTAGGTGTAGAGGTGGGGCTGCGCGGGGAGGTGGGCGGCGGCCAGGTGGGGGTGGACGGCGCCGTGGCTGGGGCTGCTGTGCGGGAAGGAGTACGGAGCCTGCGCCATGGTGGGCGCGATGTAGGCCTGCTGGCGGCGGGGGCTCCCTGTGCTGCTGGGCCTGGGGAGAAGCACCAAGCCGGCTGCGTTAGGGGCACAGGGACCAGAAGGTGCCAGGGCACAGCAGGAGGGCCGAGCACGCCCTGGTAGGTGGCCTGCCGAGATGACCGCGGCCCAGCCAGCTGCCGAGCGCACAGGAGCGGCTTTCTCCCGAGGGCGAGCCGGGGCTGTGCGGCTGCTGAGGACGGCCGAGTGGCCATGCTCCTCCACTCGCAGTGAGGCTCATGGCTGAAACCGCACCCTCCAGAATGCTGCCGTCCAAACTGCCCCCCTCAACGTGGACTTGGCTCTCCGTACTCTGATGCAGTCTTGACACAAGCTGGGGACAGCACTTTGGATGGGGTTCTGAGCAGACCTCCCCACCTCCCTGCGTCCGCTCCGTAATCAGACCTGAGGCCCAGCCCTCCATGCACAGCCTTGCTCTGTGGCCATGGCAATGGCCCTGAGGTTCCACTCAAGTCTCTCCCCAAACCCTAGGACCTCCCTCCCCGGATCTGGGGTCTCTGGGGTGTGGTCTGTCCCTGGAGCCCAGGCTGACTGGGCCAGGACGTGTTCTGCCCTGAGCTAGGTCACAGTGGGCCAATATGGGCCACCCTATTTTTAAGCTCTTCATGGCACCATGTCGCAAAGAGCTTTGTAACATCAGACGAGTCACTGTGCTCTGGTGGCTCTCTGCCAACCAGTGACACCGACTTCCCCAAGGTGACCCCAGAGACCCCGCGGGGCACTTCCTGTGCCCCTGGGGGCTGCTGCTCTGGGACCCGCTCACCTGGCTGAGGTTGAGAGGCTGCTGCTGCTGGAAGTGGGGGCCGGGCCGCTGCTGCCGGTAGGCGATGGCTCCAGACGAGCTCCCTGAAGAGTGACCGCTGGTGGAGGCCACGGTGCTGGAGGACTTGGGCTTGTAAGAGGACGAGTGGTGGCTGGAGTTGACTGTGGTGGGAGGAGGAAGAGGTCACAGGTCAGGAGCAGGTCCGCAGCTCCCAGAAGACGCTACCCCCACCTCCTAAGGTGGCCCAGGAAGGGCCATTTCCTGGGACCGGTCAGTCACAGAGCTTCCTCTCCGTGGCTCTGGGCTGGCAACAGGGCTCTGGCTTGTCCCCTTGTGGGAGAGGGTGGTTAGAGCCACAGGGGAGGAGAGGAAGCCAGAAGCCAAGGAAGAGACAGGGGCAGAGAGGCGCAGTGGCCGATGGCCCGAGGCCAGGTCTAACATGGTCCTCCTGGGGCGTCCCCTCTGGCATCTGGCAGCGGGTGGTTGTGAGCAGCATCTAGACCGCGTCTGAGGCAGATGCCACGAACCACCAGGAGGACAAAGACAGCTAAGGTACCACGGTGTCACCTGGCCTAGTGCCCTGTCCTCGGCAGGACGGGACAGTCATCCAGGGAGGACACGGCCGAGTGCAGGGCTCTCCTGTCTCTGAGGAGGTGGGGCAGAGCGTGGCTACTCCAGAGGTGCCTGCCCGCCTGGTCAGCCGGTGGTGCCATGTTCTGGCCCAGAGCCCCGGGTGGGCCTGAGAGTCTACATTTCTTTTCTTTCTTTTAAGAGAAATTTTGTTTTTGCTATAGGGCACATGTGCTCACCAAAGATAGAGAGACAGAAAGTGAGAAATCACTCCCCAGGGGAGATGGCCACACCATAATCCCTTCTGCTCCTTTTCCTCTCAGGATCTTGGGCACGCACACACACCCAGGGTGTTTCAAGCCGTCCGGTCTGGGACTTGAACAGCGGTCGACTACGTGGGACTCCAGTGATACAGCCATTATGCCATCTGCTGGTCCCGAGAGTCTGTACTCCTAACCAGCTGCTGGCTGGTGGGCTACACGAACAGCCAGGGGCTCACCAAGTGTGGCTCTGCCCCAAGTAGGATGGCCCCCATGGCGTCTAGCTGGAAGGAGTCCAAGGAGCCTCTTCAGAGCCCACTGCCTCGCGCCATCAGACCAACATTTCCTGAGCACCCACTGTGTGCCAGGCATGGTGAGGGATTGGCCTGAGGACAAGCCAGGTGAGGCTGTTCTGGGCAGTGTCAGGGATCGGAGTGTGGCAGGCTCCTCGGGGAGTTCCGCTGCTAGGTGAAGCCATCTCCACGCCCCTGGCTGCCTCCCCCCCCCCCAGGGGTGGTCCCCACACAGGGAGCCCTGCTAGACACCGTGGGCCTGCGCAGAGTGGGTGGACAGTGCTATTGTTTGCCTGCCTCTTGGTGTCTTTCTGGAAACCGAACACTTCCCCAGAAGCTGTGTCTAGCAGAGGAGGAAAACCAAGGCGAAATAACTGACAGCCAGTGTGAACAGGCCTTTGGCGCAGGAGTCCAGTCATCCGCCAGAGCACTGTCATCATCCACAGCCCCCCAGCTCTGAAGCCGCCCACGTTCGAGGAGGGCGTCCGAGGAAGGGGTGTTGGAGGAGAGTCATGTTCAGTGTGTACCCTGAAGGGAGAAGTGGCAAGGACACAGTGCGGCGTGTCTGGGACAGAGCTGTGTCTCACATTCCAGGAGCAAGAATGCAGAACTTTTATACTGGGGTCTGCACGTCTTAGGCAAGAAGAAAGCCCAACGCCACCATCCCAGGGAAGCAGCTCGTGGTGGGTTGTGGCGGGTGAATCTGGGTACCCCCAGGTGGAGGGTGCTAAATATGAAAGAGCCACGCACGGTACAGATCAGGCTCCTCCTTGGACGAGGTTGGGTCAATTTTATTATGAATCTCAGGTGAGAAAATCAAGATCCAACAGGAGACGCCTGAGCTGGGGCCGCGGCTAGAATGCTGGGCAACTGTGGTCAGAGAGCCACCTGTGCCTTCAAAGGGCAAGAAGAGCAGAGGAAACTGGAAGCTTGGGGACGAACGCTGGCGCACACTGAACTCAGAGGGTACATCCTGACCCCCTACACCATCGGGCTCCCTCTCCACTCCTAGGCCAACTCGCCGCATTTATCGTGGCAATTACGTGTGGGAGAAACAGAGCTCAAGGGATGTATGGCCTAAGTCTGCAGAGTGAGGGGTCAGGTGACGGCACAGTGATAGCAACTGGACCCACATGGGAAAGGCCCTGGGTTCACGTCCCGGACCCTGCTGAGCTGTCAGGTGTGGACACTCATGTGCCGAGATCCTGACCTGCAGAGACTGGAGGTAGTCGCAGCGTGAGGACTTGGTGGGGTGCCTCTCGGAAAAACAAACTTTAAAAAGAGTTTTAGGTGACATGAATGGCAGCCTGGCATTCCGCTCGCTACTGTCCGTGGGGACAGGATATGGAAGACGCGTCAGAGCAGGAGGGGCCTGAATGAGGCAGGGGTCCTGGAGGGGACCGAGGAATGAGCAGCAGTTCCTCCTGGAGAGACGAGCACAGTGACCACGGGCCGAGCTGAAGGGCCTACGTATGTTTCGGTGGCAAGAGGACAGTACGGGGCTTTCTGGAGATGCCCTGCCCTGGAAATAGCCCTTGGTGCTCGGGGTGGCCGCTGGTGGCCCTGTCTACACTAGGTGAGCAGAATGCTTACAGCACAGATACGCTCTGGGGCCAGCCCCTGGGAGGACCAGCACACAGCCTCAAACAAGTTGGTGAATCTCTTTATGCTCCCATTTTAAAAAAGATTGCCAGAGGGCATGTGTGCTTGTGTGTGTGTGTGTGTGTGTGTGTGTGTGTGAGAGAGAGAGAGAGAGAGAGAGAGAGAGGAGAAAGCACCCCCTTTGGGGAATGGTCATGCTGTAATTCTTTCTTTTCCATTTCTGTATAGGATTTCTGGCACGCGCATGCACACACGTGCCTGGCTTGATTTTCAAGCCACTAGGTCTGGGACTTGAACTGTGGGTGGGTCATCTGGGATCCAGTTCTGTTAATTAGGCTATGGGGCTGGCTACGAAATTGGAAAAATAACGGCAGCCACACGTAGGGTTATCACGTGGATCACACAAGTTAACATCTGTAAAATGTTCTGTATCCAGCATTTAGGACCTTAATGTTGCTAGTTCTGTTAGTGATTGCTGGCGTCATTACTGAACCTGTCCCTTGGCAAAAGCTGACTCTCAAGGTCCAGGGGTCTGTTCCCAGTGGAGATGAATGCTGGTTACCTGGAAATGGGGCACGGGAGTCGGGGAACTGCTGGCTCTGTGGTCAGGTGAAGACAGCTCCACAGGGCAGGCAGGCCTCCAGCAGCTCCGGCCCCAGGAGTCCCAGCCCCTGCTCTGCCTGGGACTTAACTGTTGAGCTTTCCCTAAATCCTGCATCCTTCTGATAAACTCTTTGTCTTAAGCCAGGGTAGAGTTCACCCTGCCTTCCATGAGAAACTTAACTAACCCAGGAGAGCTGGGACGGCTGTGGGGAAACCGCGACATCCTTCCCAAGTGGAGAGCTGTGGGCGGGAGAGGAGTACGGAGGTCGGCCTGCTGTACACACAGCCCTCACCCCGACCGCATCCAGAGGGCCGCGGGACCCCTGCCTCTGAGATGTGATGGGAGCTTCAGCTGGGGAGCAGCTGCCAGTGCGCATGTCGGCCTGTGTGAGTCACAGAGTACCCCAGGCCTGGACTGATTTTGCAGCTAACGATGAACAGCAGACCAAGACACGCCACGGGCTGGGGAGCGGCAGGCACCAGAAGATGGGGTGGGGGCCGGGGTGGCATGGTGGGGGCTGGGGGTCAGGGCACCTTCCTTGTATGGAATGAGCTCAATCTATACCTTTAAGGTTTCTACGAAGATAAAGAACTGGAATAATGGTGCAATACACGCTATGGTAGGGTCTATGCCCTTTGCAAATATTTAAACTTACAGATGTGTGAGATGTGGTTTAAATAATTATGTAAGGTCTGTCTGAGCAGAAACGTGTACTGTCCTCTGCTCCGAGGAATCCTTTCTCTTGCAGTGAACTGTGCCTGACAGGCCCCTGTGGTTACTACGAGGGACTGTTGCTTCCTGTCAAGTTTCCCTGGGTAGAGAAACCAGGTTTTTGGGAGAGAGATGTGCTTGTGCCTCGAAGGCCAGCCTCATTTCTTTTCCTCACAGGATGTCTAATTTTGAAAGCTCAGCCTTATTTCCTGGCTCTGGGTCACAGGAAACTAGCGTACGGACACCCTGGGCCCTCGTACCTGGCACCCCATGGTCCTTTTCTCCTGCAGGTGAAGCCTCAGGTATAACTGGCCATGGGGCAAAGACCATGTGGTGGGTGTTAATGCCGTGTGTGGGTCTCCCTGTGCAGTGGCTTGAAACCCTCCATGTACTTCTCACCCATCCACCATGTAGACACCACGGTCCCCTACCCCACAATGCCCCCTGGCCCACCCAGGAGCACTAATTCTCAAAGTCTGCACTGTCTGCACAGTGCTGTTGGGGACAAACTGGGACATGAAAACACAGAAGCTTTAGCAGGGTGCAGGGCTGGCTGAGTTCTACAACCACCTCTTTCACTCCCCAGAGGGGATGGCCATGCCACAATCCATTCTCCTCCATGAATCTTGGGCATGCGTGCACACGGTGCCCAGTGTGATGTTCAAGGCACCAGGTCTGGGAATTGAACTGTGGTTGGTCACATGGGATGTAACTGCTACGTCATCTGCTGGCCCACACCTCTTTGAGGAAAGGCAGCACGGGGAACTATACAGTCAGGGAGAAAGACTTTCTGGGAGAATAATCCCACCTGGGCTCCCAGGCAGCCCCTGGGTAGGACATGGAGGTCACAGAGTCCAAGCTGACTGCTGTTTTCTTCTGCAGGCAGAGCCTTTTGTGTGGAAAAGGCCATGCTATAGGCTTCGTTGTGAGTGTTAGGGACCCACACTGCAGGCTGACCTGGGGCACCCGGCTGAGAGAGCGCCCAGAGATGCCATCTTGGCTTCCACTCTTCACCTCAATAGCAGCGCCCCGATGGCCTGTGCTCACTGGGCTGTCCATGTGGTGACCGCCTCAGGAAGGTTCCTGGTCTCTGTAGCAACCTCAGGCCACACAAGCAGAAGGTCTCTCTGGGGACTAACAGCTTCTCACACCCAACCAAACCCTGGTGGCAGTTTTTATTCCCCCTTTCCAGTCAGCACCACCGTGGAGGTGGGGCTATGGTTTAAACAGTCATTTAAGGGCCATCTGAGCAGAAACGTGTACTGGCCACTGCTCTGAGGACCTGTCTCCTGAAGGGCCTGCTATCGTGGGGCTGACTGGTGTGGCTGTGGTACCGCTTGTGGTGGAAAAGCAGAACGTGGGGATGTCTTCTGCTTCAGTTTCTCTTTACACCGCGACTGTGAACAAGGGAAACGCTGAGCAGAGACTGCTAACACCAGGGTGAGCTGCCATGTTTATTTAGAAGGTTAAATTCATGGCCTTTATTCTGGGAGCCACTTTTCAGGGCAAGCCTTCATGGGATAGCAAGAATCCTTTTAATAGAGCAGTACAAAGTGGTGGTTAGCCTGGTGGTTAATGGATCCCATGTGCTCAGCCATGGTTCAAATCTTGACCTTGGTGGCTTAAAAAAACATACCAGGGCTGGCAGGTGGCATGGTGGTTACCATGGTTCGAGTCCTGGACCTGGCAGCTTGCTTTCTCACTTTTCCTCTTTTTCTCACTCTCACTCTGTTCCTCTCAGGTCAAATTAAAATAAGTAAATAAATGAAGTTAAGTAATGGGACCAGCAGTGAGCGTAATGGCTATGTCACTGAACTCCCATGTAGTCGACCGCAGTTCAAGTTCCGGACCTGGTGGCTTAAACTCATGTTGGGTGCATGTATGTGCGTGCCCAGGATCCCGAGAGAAGAATGGAGGAGAAGGGATTGTAGCGTGGCTATCCCCCCTGGGGGATGATTTTTCACTTTCTGTCTCTCTGGCGAGCGCATGTGCCCTGTAGCAAAAACCTCTTCAAAATAATTAAATAAAATTCCAACAGGATACAGAAATGGAGCACAAGGGATTGTGTCACGACCATACCCATTGGGGGTGCTTTCTGTCTCTCTCTAGCAAGCTCGTGTGCCCTCTGGCAATTAAAAAACACATAAAGTGGTCCGTGAGAAATGCACTCAGCTCTGCTCTCTCAGCTGTGCCAGGGACTGGTGCGAGCTACTGTATCCTTGCCAGCAAGACCTGCAGGAAGGGGCAGCTCTGTGGTGCAGTGGTAATGTGCTGCTCAAGAGAAGCTGGATCCCACATGGTGACTACAGTTCAAATCCTTGACCCGGTCAGCATGAAACATGCCAGGCATGCAGGCAAGTGCCCACGATCCGACAGAGTGGACGTGGGGGATTGCGGTGTGACCAGACCTGTGGAGGGTGCTCCTTTCTCGCTCATATCTACATACACATGTGCAAGTGTGCTCTATCATGAATAAAGAAAAAGGGGGAAAAAAAGACTCAGAGAAGGTCTTTCCTACAGAGGAAGCCCACCCGACCCTCTACCAGAGGGCTTCCTGGACAGCAACGGAGCGAGTAGAGTGAGGTGTCAGGGAAGCTCACCAGCCAGGAATCCCAGACCAGTAGGTAAGGAACCAGTGGCTTTGGTTTTGTATTTATCAACCTGCTTGGAAGCAGAGCCATCAAAATGGCAGGGAGGTACTGATTACAGGATTAGCAAAGGAAAACAGTTCTCTACAGCATAACGTTCAAGAAGCCCACGTGGGCAACTTGAGTGAAATCCTGCGAAGGGTCTTCTACAATAACTGGGCTCTTTCTGTTTGATGAGCTCTCATACCAGGATCTCTAGCAGCAGAAAACAAAGAAAACCCATCTCAGAGTGAGGTTCCTGGCCAGCCCGGGCCCCAAGTTACCTGGCACCAGGCTGTCACATTCCACCAGGACTTCGCTGGCCTGGGTTTTCAGGGGTGGCACGATGATGGTCCGGGGGTTCCCAGTGCAGTGGCTCTCCAGGCTCCCCTTGGTGTCAAAGGGCTTGGCGTTGCTGTGCCCGGCGCGCTGCTGCACTGAGTAGGGGCTGGTGTTGCTGGAGGAGTCGGAGTAGGGGGAGTCGTGGACGGTGACGCAGCTGATGACGTTCTTCCGCTGCTTGGAGACAGTGCTGAAAACCAAGGGGAGAGGTCAGATGCGGGCGGGGGAGGCTGCGTGGGGGGACCCCAAACCAGCATGAATCCCTGCTGCACCTCGAGGCAGGGGAGGGCAGCGGAGAGGGAGTGAGGACTGTGACTTCTGCTCTCGCTAACCTCATGGGCTTGTGGGTGTCACCGTCTAACCTGAAGGGAGGACCTGTGAAGACACAAGGAAGAGGCTGGCACCGAGCCCTCAGGTGCTTCTGGAGGTGGGGCAGGAGAAGCTTTTGGGCAGGCCTCGGCTCCCCTCGCAAAGCAGAGCTCAGCCGAGGAAGCCCCAGGCCTGAGGCAGTCCCTGAGGGCCATGGGGATGCGGCACCTGAGCAAGCAGAGACAAGCAGCAAGAACCAGGAGGACACCACAGCCGGGAGGGAAGTGGCCTAAGTTGAGGCTCAGGGCCTGTGAGACCCAGTGAAGTGTAGGCAGGAGGGAGGACCATCCCTGGACCAGGATTCAGCTGGGTCGGAAGGAAACAGGGCACTGAGGATGCTCTTGTCGCAGCATGGGGCAGACATGCTGAGAGCCGAAGGGGAGCTGGATTGGCCCCTCTGCCTGCCCTTGTTCTGAGGTCGCCCTGGGATGACTTGGGTGCGGGCCCCCAGGCCCTCCCAGGGCCCCCTTCTCAGGGCAGGCCAGGCCTTCTGCAGCCTTCCCACTGCCTGGGCTGTGGACCAGGGAGGAGACAACACTGCAGAAGCCTGGCAGAAAGGCTCCTGCCACCTCGGTGCTGAGGACGTCACCTGAATGCCACCCTCATCTCGTATCTGGAACGTTATACAATGGGGCAGTGGGGGTGGTGGTGGCTTTGGAGGGCTCTTGGCTGGTGCGTTTTCTCCAGAGATATTTATGTTAGTGAGGCTGCTTTGGGAACTGGTTCTGACTAGCAAGAGGCAGGCGGGGTGATGGAAATGGAATGTGCTGCGGATTGTGTGGGGGTTTAAAAATGGAGGCTGCTCTATTTTTGTATATTGATCATTTATTTTTAAGAAGTAACAATTGCCTAAACAACTGGTCAGTTTCCAGCTAATTGGATAAGAGAAGAGGCTGGTATTTATAGAGCCCGAGGGAGTCACAACACCCTGAGGTGTCTGCCTAAGGTCACAAAGCTGGAGCAGGGCCAGGCCAGGCTGGTTCCAGGAGGGATCTCTGCCACCCTCGGGGAGCAGAGAAGTGGAGACACTCAAGAGCCCATGGCAGCTGGACAGAAGGCAAGCGGAAAGAGAATAGGCCTACAAAGCTCTGAGAGGCTGGAGGGGCCAGAGAAGCTAAGGCCCCCAGGAGGCCTGGTCCCTGCTTCACACGCCAACACTAGCGACATGGGCTGGATGGCCCTTCAGGGGCTGTGCACTCCGCACTCCACCCCCTCTGGCCACCAACTGTCTGTGGATAAGAACTGGGGCCCCCAGTCAGAGGTCTAACTAAGCACATGCGGGTGATGGGACCCTGGGCAGCCATTCAAGCTTTTGGTGATTTAATCACCACTCAGTAAAACGTGGCTGATAATACTACCTATAGCATAGGGAAAATGAGAAATCCACCCCCAGGGGGGATGTCCATGCCACAGTCTCTTCTTCTCCATTCTCCTCTCAGGATTTTGGATGCGCGCGTGTGCGCACACACACACACATGCGCACACGCACATGCACACACACACACCTGGTGTGTTTTTTCAAGCTGCCAGGTCCAGGATCGAACCTGGCAGTTGGCCATGTGGGATCCAGCCACCTTAACCACTGCGCCACCTGCTGGCTCTTCCATAGGCTTATTCTGAGAACCAAGTGAGGAAATATAACACTTTGAATAATGTATGACACATGGTAAGCATTCCATAAACATTAGCTGCTATTATTATGATGTTACTTTATTTAACATATGAAAACAGGTCTGTAAAACTTAACTAGGTGGGACCAGCAGATGGTATAATGGTTACATCGCTGGACTCCCACATGGCTGACTATGGTTTGAGTCCTGGATTCAGAGGCTTGAAACTCAGGCCAGAAACGTGTGTGTGCATGCATGCCCAAAATCCCAAGAAGAGAATGGAAGAGAAGGGACTGCGGTGTGGCCATGCCCCTCTGGGGGGTGATTTTTCTCTTTCTTTTCTCTCTGTCTCTCTACTGAATGCGTGTGCCCTATAGCAGAAATCTCTCTTAAAAACAAACACACAAAACTTACCTAGGCAAAGAGAATTGTATTGGAATAAGTACTTGCTGGAAAAGTTTTTTCTTTTCCTAGTCCATGAATAAACCAGAAGATTGATATGAGAGAAAATGAGAACTCATCTAGATATCTTGGTGCTCTATGATGAGGGCTCCTGGGAACACCGGTACAAGGAGATACAACACCTGTCTCTGCCCTCGAGGAGACTACAACCCCAGGGGGGACTATATAAAAACCTGACAAGTTAAACAGTAAGAAGCTTTAAAATAACCAGTTAAAGAGAATAATGGATGTCACAAAGCCTTCTGTGATTAGCTGTCAAGTGAGTTGTACAGATGATAATTGTTAAGAATGCAAAGGAAGGTGAGGAATGAATTGGTTCCGTATATTGACAGCTCTTCACATTTACTTAGATAAAATAGATATGCTCTAATTAACAAATTCCTATACTTCGCACTTAGAGCAGCTTAAGTGCATAAAGTCTATACTTGTTACTCAGAGACCTAAACACAGGGGCCAGCAGGTGGTGTAGTAGTTAAGGGGCTGGACTCCCACACGGTCGACCATGGTTCAAGTCCCAGACCAAGTCCCGGACCTGGTGGCTTGAGAATCATGGCGGGCTCATGTGCATGTGTGCTCAAAATCCCAGGAGGAGAATGGAGGAGAAGGGATTGAGGTGTGGCCATCCCCCAGGAGGTAATTTCTCAAAAACCTTAAAAAGAAAAAAAAGCTAAGCACGGTTATCATATGATCCAGCAATTCCATTCCTAGACGTGTACTTAAAGGAGCTGATAGCAGGGAGGCAAATGAATATTTGTAGGCTGATGTTCACTGCAATGCTATTTCAACAGCCCAGAGGTGGAAACAACCTAAGTGTCCACCAGCAAATGAATGGACAGGGCCATCAGGTGGCATGGAGATTACGGTAGCTGGATCTCACGTGGCCAACTGTACGGTTTGAGTCCTGCACCTGGTGGCTTGAAAATCATGCCAGGAGAGTATGTGTGTGTGTGCCGAAAACCCGGAGAGAAGAATGGAGGAAAAGGGATTGCGGTGTAGCCATCTCCCTGGGAGGTTACTTCTTTCTCTCTCTGTCTTCTTCGTGAGTGCGTGTGAACTATAGCAAAATAAATTTTAAAGAAAGATGAAAGGATAAACAAAACTGAAGTTCTGATACATGCTACAATATAGTATTAAATAAAATGAACCAGCCACAAAAGGACTAATATTGTGTGATTCCATATGTATGAAATATCTCGAGGGACCAGCAGATGGCATAATGGTTACGCTGCTGGACTCCCATGTAGTTGACTGTGATTTGAGTCCTAGACCTGGTGGATTAAAACTCATGCCAGGCGTGTGTGCGTGCATGCATGCCCAACATCCCAAAGGAGAAGGGAAGAGAAGAGACTGTGGCACAGCCACCCCCCCTCGGGGGTGAGGTGATTTCTTGCTTTCTGTCACTCTGGTGAGCACATGCGCTCAATAGCAAAACTCTCTCTTAAAAATTTTTTTTAAAAAAGAAAGAAATATCTAGAACAGACAAATTCATAGAGACAAGAAAGATTCGAGGCTACCAGAGGTTGGGGGTGGCAGTGGTAAGGAATGAGAGAAAGGGGAGTTACTACTTAATGGGTATAGTTTTGGTTGGGGTGATGTAAAAATGTAAAAAACTGATCACAGCAATGATTGCGCAACACCATTAATATAAACAATGACACCAAGAAAACCATGGAGCTGTGCACATTCAATTGTATCTCAGTTAAGGAAAAACCCCATAGGGTCATTTAGAAACAAAAAGCCAAATGGAATGCCCTGTGGTGGCTGCAGCAGGACTCAGCAGGCACCTAGAGGGGAGCGGGGAGGGACTGAGACTTGGCACTAGAGAGTGGGTGCCAAGAAAAGGCCCCTGAGCCTGGAAAGCAGGGAGAAGCAATCCTAGCCCAGGAAGAAGAGCAAGGCATGGAACTCTCAGTGGATAGGGTCCATAGGGAGCGGGAGGGAGGAGGAGAGCTGCAGTAAGAAGACAAAGACAAGAGAACCTGCAGCTGTCTTCTCTGCTGTGGGATGGGGCGGGGTGAGTGAGGGGCTAGACTGGTCTGTGCAGAGTCTGGTGTGGGATCAGATGTTACTGAAGGACCCCACTCACCCTGTACCCTTAGAAAGTGCTCCCAGAGCCAGGGACAGAGCTGGGAGGCTGCGAGGGGATGCAGGAAGACAGCCCTGCCCTGCCCTTCACTCTCGGCCTTGGCCACAGACACTGCTGTGTGATGAAGTGACATCCATGCACAGTGGCTCCTTTAGCCACTTTATGAAATGCAGACATGTTGTTGCGTGTGCACATTCTGTGGGTGGGGGACCCCACGTGAAGACAGGCTGGCTCCCAAGTGTATCCCGAGAGCCTGGGTAACTTCTAACGTCCATCTAGCTCCAACCTGCTCTGAAATCCACTGACAGAGATTACTAGGAGGCCAACGGTGGGGCAGAGATAACAACACTTGTGAGGCCGACTCCATGGGAAGTTCTGGGTTTGTACCTGGAGACCTCCCTGAGTTCGCTGGGCACATACCAGGGGTGGATCACAGCAACGAGAAGTGACACGGGTGTGGTCTCTGTCCTCTGTTTCTCTATGTCTCTGTCACTTTTGCTCATTTTTTTTAAAAAAGATAAGTAAAGACATCTCAAATTATGTACTATTTGGTGTCCTCCAAATCTGGAGGGGAAATACATCCCTTTAGCAGATGTACCTCACACAAACACTCAGTCTGGCCAATTCTGGATCATATCTTCTTAGGTTCTGAGTAGATTAGAA